CCCCAAAACCCCAAAACCCCAAAACCCCAATGCCTTCAATTCACTTGAAATTTGAAATTTCATCAATTTATAACTAATTTTTTTCACCATCTTCATATTCATTAATTCTGATCAGATTTCATAAATACTAATACTTAAGCCAAAAGTTTAAAGCTTTATATAATATTATTTCTTGAGCTAAAGTTATATAGTCCGTTAACATAACATCTCATTAGAGGTATCTCAGAGTGTTAATCCTAAGTCATAAACATTAAAGAAATATAGTAGCTACTATAACATCAACAGAAATAAGATAAGAATATGGATTATTATAAATCCAAGGAGTAGATGGAACTGAATGTGCATCATTCAAATTTGAAAAGTTACAATCGTTTAGTAATAATGATGCCTCGTAGAAACATGCTCTCGGTAGAATATTGCTATGATGCTGATAATAGAAATAGATTTGTTGATTTCATTGGCTTTAGCAATTTTATTTTCTTGATCCAAAATCTTGAAAAGAAAAAAAATAATATTAAAGGTTTTCAATCGACTACATGATTACCTACTATCTAGTTAGATTGAAACTTATATTTTGAGATACCCATTTGCTTGTAAAATGATATTGAAGTGATAAGTTAATGGCAAATGCTCATAAGTCTTCTAATTATCCTTCAATATAAAAGTTAAAGACTGGCAATAAAAATGTACCAATAACGGACTAAAATTAACAACTTTGAAAATACCTTGCTCGAGATGAAATATTGGCTCTTCTCTATCTTCACTAACATTTCAATAGAATATCAGAACTTAGATTGAAAGTAAAATACTTTTACATATTTGCTTGTTTGAGAAACAAGAAATCCTACAAAACTTTTATCTTCAAACACTTGTAAATAAGGGATCATTGCTTTCTTGTCAAGACAATGATTTCATTCAAAGGCTATATCTCAGAAGCATAATATTTGGATTTAAACAGATTAGATACTGTTCCATTAATTCTAATCACTTACAGAGACATTCAGTTATTCTTTCACCTAATTAATGATATAAAGCACATAATGAAACAAGTGACAGAGCAGAACTTGTGAAAATTCTGTTTTTGAACTGGCTACATCACTTAAAAAAATTTAAAATCTGGAAATAAACAATAAATCATAAGATTGAACTAGGCATGTCAATCATAAAGAATTAATTCAAATGAAATACACAATACACGATAAGTTTTTAAAATATTAAGACTAAAGATCATGAAATCAACAGATCTATTTCTACTAGCATTTTCATAGCTAATATTCTACCAAGAGCATGTTACTATGAGGTATCATTATGCTGAACTCACATTTACGCACCTTTTAATATTTCAAATTTAAAGTGAACACATTCAAACCAAAACTAAACTTGGAAAAATTTAACCCTTAATGCTTGACTATTGCTCATTGATGATGGTCTAGTGAATGATCACTACTAATTATATGATAATGAGAATTGACCTCAGTTCTTAAAGTGGTTCATGCATTTCATAACTTTTAATTAATAAATCATTAACTCTGTATTTGTCTAATAAGCTAAATAAGCATATGCTTTATATAAATGCTATATTCTAGTTGATGGGGTTTTGGGGTTTTGGGGTTTTGGGG